TATAATTCAATATTACTTAACATAAAAATCTTGTAATCAAAGATCTTTTGCTATATTATAAAGTGATATTTAAAGAACTGATAATAATATCATAATTAAAACTATTTTCTTCAAGTAAAATATCAATACTATAAATCTTATTAAATATGCAATTATAAATAATAATAATAAAAAAGAAGAAAAAAAAATTAATCTTAAACAATTTATCATGCTTAATTAGATAAATAATTTATAAACTTTATAAATATATATTCTTATTTAAAAGTAATTATTATTTATATTAATTTTTTAGTTATTAACTTATTATATTGATTTGTAATTCATCAATTAAGAGCTAATACATATTAAAATATCTTGTACTTGCTAAGATATCAAGTCAATAACTGAGAAATTTATCTAAATACTTATTTTTTATATTTATCACATAATCATCCTTTTTAATTACAAGATGAATCAGAAGTATAAATATTGCCTGTTAGGAACATGTGATGAATGTGATGTAACCTGATCGGTCCATATTAGATAGGTTATGACAAGGGTGCCGTATTAAATAATTAAAGTATATTTTGTGATAAACAAATTTTTTAGACTTTTGCTTACAGGAAATCTTTTGACAATGGGAGTCCCAGCGCTATTTAGGTAAGAATACAAATTCACAGATTCAACTGGAAAAAGTGTCAAAAGTTTCTAATTGATAACTTAATGAAAGATGGCTTGCCGGTAAATATCCGAAGATCGTTGAGAAAGTAGTTGAAGAGCAACCGGTAGAAATTCATGGCGTCGTGATACCTCCGAACATATCAAAGCCAAATCCTAACGGCATTGAGTTTGATAATTTATATTTAGATATGAATGGGATTATTCATCCTTGTTGTCACCCAGATGATAAGGTATATCTTACAATGAACAAAAATAGTTCGACAAACGTCTTGAAAAACTTACAGTTGTTTCCTAATATTAGCCAGCACCTGCTACAGAAGATGAGATGATAATTGAGGTTTTCAAATATACTGAGCGAATTATAAATATGATTCGACCACGGAAAATCCTATATTTGGCTATAGGTGTGCATGTACGCTTGATTTGCTATATAACTTTATATTAATATATACTTATGGTGATATTTTTGCTAAGATGGCGTGGCACCTCGTGCAAAGATGAATCAACAGCGTTCTCGACGTTTTAGAACTGCAAAAGAATCTAAAGAAAAACTTGAAGAGGAAACAAGAACACTATCTGAACTTGAAGGTATGAATTTTTAATCTTTTTTGATCTTTTCTATTAGAAGTAACTGATCCGAGTTTGATTATCAACAGCTGCTGGAAAAATTCACACTACAGTGGAAATAAAAAAAGAATGGGATAGTAATTGTATTACTCCAGGTAATTTTCTTTTGTTACTTTGCTGAGATTTTGGGAGAGGAGCTAAATGTTATTTATATGTGATGATTATTTATATATAGGAACTCCATTTATGGCACATCTTGCTACATGTTTACGGTATTGGTTAGCACACAAGTTGAATACAGATCCTGGCTGGAAAAATGTATGTTATCAAACCTTGAATTATATAAAGATATTCTCGATTAACATAAAATCAATCTAAATTTAATGCTTAGTTAAAAGCTATTTTATCTGATGCTAATGTACCTGGTGAAGGTGAACATAAAATAATGGAGTTTATCCGTTCACAACGTGCCAGTCCCGATCACGACCCCAATACTTGTCATGTTATTTATGGTTTGGTAAGTCATCTTATTATGATTTCTCATTTAATGCTTTACTTGTGTTTGCTTAATAGAAGGTATTGTGGTTCTAGGATGCGGATTTGATCATGTTGTCATTAGGCACGCATGAACCTCATTTTAAAGTGTTACGTGAAGATGTTTTCTTCAAAGAAGGACTCATCAAAGGGTGTTTTATTTGTGGTCAAACAGGACATCAGGCTACTCAATGTACAGGTATGATGATTATTACTAAATTTTCCTTCTTATAATAAATGACAATCCATTTGATAAATATTAAAGATACTATATGTCTTTCCTATTAGGGAAAGCCAAAGAAAAACAAGGCGATTTTGATGAGAAGTCTAAATCCACCGACCCCAAACCATATGTTTTCTTAGATGTTCAAATTCTCCGAGAATATTTGGAGATAGAGCTTGAAGTACCATTACTTCCTTTCAGACCTGATTTTGAGAGGTCTATAGACGACTGGGTGTTCTTATGTTTCTTTGTTGGCAATGATTTCCTTCCGCATTTACCTTCGTTAGAGATTAGGGAAGGAGCTATTGATACGTTGACTTCGATCTGGAAAAAAGTGCTTCCGGAAATGGGCGGTTATTTGACGAAGAATGGAGAAGTAAATGAATTATTAATTTTTAACAGTTTGCATTAGAAGCTAAGTAATAAATATAAAAATTTTGTGTCCTTAATGTAGGTAAATTTAGAAAGAGCCCAGGTCCTTATTACCCAACTCGGATATAGAGAAGATCAGATATTCCGTGATAGGCATGAGAGTAAGTCATTTTTTCTTGGATTGATTAATCTTTCAGCAATTTTTAGTAATAATTCTCCCTGCTCTATCCACTAAACAGGAGAAGAAAGGCGTGAACACGCCAATAAGAGGCGAAAACTTCAAGAAGCGGTCGCCAAAAATATTGATGCACCTCCTGAAGTGGTTCATTCTACTAAAAAGATATCCTTTGAATATTCAAAAGTGATCGACTTATTATTTATCACACGATTATATAATTTATATTTTTTATAATCCCTAACTTTGAATACAATGCATCTATGTCTTCATCTGTTCCGATTGGGATTCCTATATTACCTGTGAAAGGAGTGGACCCGAATCTTCGTGCACAAACAAATTCTGATATTGTTGCCAATAGAGCGGCTATACGAATGGCAAATATTCAGGCTGCTGAATCACTAAAGGCCGAATTAAAAGGTCATAAACGTAAGGCCGATGAAGTTGAAGAGGAGGAAAAAATGATGGAAACATCAAATGAGGCGGAAACACCAAATGAGGCGGAAACACCAAATGAGACAGAAGCACAAGATGAACTTACGGACTCTATTAGGTAAAAATTAAATGCTGCAATTTTTTATTGAGCGAAATAATCTTTTTTTTTCGATTTTTATGAATTGGATCTTTTTTTTAGATTATGGGAATCTGGATATAAAGAACGTTATTATAAGGCCAAGTTTGGCGTGGAAATGAGTGATGTAGAATTTCGAAAACAGTAAGTCCTTATATTTAATATTGTAATACCTGTCCATAAAAATTTTTGAATTTACATATTAATCTTTCAAACGTTCATATTTCAGGTTGGTTAAGTCTTATATTGAAGGTCTTTGTTGGGTGTTACGCTATTATTTTCAAGCAAGTATCCCAATAACAAAAATTTGCGTGAATATCATTTTTTATTAAAATCATTGCTAATGCATACATACATTTCGATTTTTTGTTTTAGGGCGTTCCTTCTTGGAAATGGTATTATCCATATCATTATGCACCATTCGCTTCGGACTTTGTAAATATTAAAGACATTAATATAAGCTTTGAATTGGGACAACCATTCAAGCCATTCGAACAACTCATGGGCGTGTTACCAGCTGCAAGGTAAGAAAGGAATTGTGTGTTTCAAATAAATCTTATGTTTAGAAATAATCACTAAATGGCTTTGAACATTATAATATAGTAAAGTGCATTTACCCGAACCATTGGGTAATCTAATGATTAGTGAAGAAAGCGAAATCAGAGATTTCTATCCCGAAGATTTTGAAATTGACTTGAATGGCAAAAAGTTTGCATGGCAAGGTATGCTAAGAAGGGTCATCACTTTATGGTAAAACTGGTAAAGAACGTCTAATAATAATTATCACACTTTTCAAATTGAAAACAAATGTAATAGGCGTGGCGATATTGCCTTTTATCGACGAAACACGCCTGCTTGCGGCATTAGAAAGTGTGTATCCTTATTTAACAGAGGAAGAAAAAATTAGAAACTCAACAGGAAATGATGTCTTATGTTTTGGATATCAACATAAATTATACGAAGAGTTATGTCTCTTATACGGGAAGAGAAAAATAGAGGAGGTAGTTTGATATGTAAAATTAATATTTAGAAATTTTAATTTTCATCAAGATTTTTTTATTTTTTTTTGTTTAGCCTGTACCTTTGAACCCCAAACTTAGTGACAAACTAATCGGGTTTGTATCGAAAGATCCTAACTTTATACCGGGAAGCACGCTACATTCACCATTACCAGGTCGCGATGAGCCAGATATAGTTAACAATAAGTCATTAAGGTATGATGTTTTCTATTTTTATTTAACATGACATACTTCTTAATTACAAAAATCCGAAGAGAAATAGTTAATTTCAAATGAACTATTATTTAAATCATCTAGTGTTATATATCATCTCCCACCAAGAAATGAGGCTCAAAAATCAATATTATTAAAGAATGTAAAGTTGTCTAGTCGTATATTGAATCATG